CCATTACAAAAAAAGTGCACAACGTCGCTAAAGAAGTTTTCACTTCAAAAATATGATATACCATATAAGATCTTTTTAGTTTAGGTTTAAAGACATTTATTCTCATAAAGACATTATATACGCCACTTACATGAGAACATAAATAAAAGTAAATCTAAATAACAAAATTCGTTGTCGTACCTATTTTGTTGAAAAATCAACATCAAAAACAGCTATCGACGGGAAAATCTATAAAAATATGGAAAAGTTATAAAATGACATCAGTCACTCACAAATTCTGGGATTCACTATCATATTCGGATTAGCACCATAGCACAACCATGACCAGGAACAAACCCGTCCAACGTACTCAGATAGATATATTTGTGTTTATATGATTTGCTAGTCGCTTTTTGAATACATTGAACGAGTCTACATTTTTTATTTCCGAGGGTATCTTATTAAAAAGGCGCGCACCTTTGCATGTAATTGTGGTCTGGCCGTACTTTGTTCGAGTCTTAGGCAAAACGATGAAGCTCTCGCGTCGTGTGCAGATGCGCCCAACTTTTTTCCGCTTGGTGAATTGCAGATCCGTGCGTATCTTCTTGTTCATGGATTTACGAATAAAGATACAGGTGTTATAAATGTATAATTGTTTGATATTCATCAGTTTCGGTTCTCGGAAAATTTTTGAAGTTGATGTTCGGAAATTGTAGTTGAATAGCATTTTCATTATTCTATTTTGTAGGACTTATAATTTGTTTAATCTAGTACTGGCAGCGCTTCCCCAGACCTCTATGAGATTTACTAGGGCATTATATATAGTGACACGTAGTTTCTGTGGTATGTATCGAAAATTAATCCGGAGTGAGGCGTGAAGTGACATTAATTTGGATACTAAATATTTAATGTGAACATTCCATGTTAAATGGGTATCCAAATAAAGGTCAAGATATTTTTCATTGGTTTTTTCTTGCAATGGTATATTATTTATTTTGAGAGGTGAGTAATTGGGTATATTTAACAGTGGTAGAGCCAAGCGGTAGCTTTTGCTGTCGCACGGATGGGCCAGCTCGAACCGGGGTGGTACCACGACCTCACAGAATACCAGCGTGAAGTAGAGGTTTACCTCTGCGTTGCGTTTGGTGAGTGCAGGTGGCCGGAGGCCCAATTCCCCCCCCCCCCCCATCAACATGGTAGTGGAATTAAATACAAGACTACCCCAGGAGGGTACCAGCAACCCTGGAGAATCCCTCGCTGAGCATCCACGAACAAACTACTTCACTCCTGAGCGTGGGTGCTCAGGCTGCCCCGCGTATTCTGGGGGGGGCAAAATTCCGCTCGTGACTAATGCTGCTCGGGGCAAGCGGAGCAATACAACCAAGGCGACCCCTGTCACGCTATCCGTGAATTTTTGCAACATCAGGGGACTTCATTCCAACCTTAACGCTGTCCATTACCATCTAGAGACGGCGAAGCCGGCCTTGCTCTTTTTAACCGAGACTCAGGTGTCCTCTCCGGCTGATACTTCATATCTCTCCTACCCGGGGTACAAATTGGAACACTCCTTTGTGCCCCGGGCTGGAGTTTGTGTATACGTCAGAGAGGACATCTGTTTTCGACGCCTCGGCAGCCTTGAAGGTACGGACCTGTCCATCCTATGGCTGCGCGTAGACAGCGACGACCATCCCCGCGTCTACGGGTGCCTCTATAGGTCCCATAGTGGTAATGCCGACACAGACCGACTCATCGACCACGTCCAAATGGCTGCAGACTCCGTGCTACAACAGGTCCCATCCGCAGAGATCGAGATACTCGGTGATTTCAACGCCCACCACGCTGAATGGCTTGGTTCTCGTTCAACCGATCATGCGGGTAGATCTGTCTATGACTTTGCTTTGGCATATGGTCTAACACAACTGGTTACTTCGCCTACGCGGATCCCAGATGTGGAAGACCATGTACCTTCCCTGTTGGACCTTCTGCTGACCTCTCATCCGGACGGATATCAGGTCTCCGTCGATGCCCCTCTGGGCTCTTCGGACCATTGTCTGATCCGGAGCACAGTGCCACTTACGCTCCAATCGCAGTTGCGATCTACAGCTTGCCGCCGTGTTTGGCACTATAGGTCAGCTGATTGGGACGGGATGCGGTCTTTTTTTGCATCCTACCCTTGGGGGCGGGTTTGCTTCTCGCCGGAAGATCCCAGCGTTGTTGCCGATTCTGTTGCTGATGTGGTACTTCAGGGTATGGAACTTTTTATTCCATCCTCTGTGGTGCCCATCGGAGGCAGATCCCAGCCATGGTTTGGTCGCTCCTGTAAAATAGCATCACGCTATAAGCAGGAGTGCTACCGGGCCTGGGCTGACGCATCAACGTCTCGGGATTTAAACACCAGCGCACTTAAAAAGAAGTATAATTCCGCCTCCAGGTCCTTCAAAAGCGTCATTGCCAAGGCAAGGTCTGAGCACATCGGCAGAATTGGCGAGAAGCTAGTTCGCCTTCCTTCGGGAACCCGTGCATTCTGGTCTCTCGCCAAGGCTGTCCAAGGGAACTTCTGTCAGCCATCCCTCCCATCTCTGCACAGAGAGGACGACTCACTGGCCCATGCCGCAAAAGAGAAAGCCGATCTGTTGTGTTCTCTTTTTGCGTCCAACTCGACTCTAGATGACGGGGGGAACACACCGCCGACCATCCCGCGATGTGAGTGCTCCATGCCGGATGTGCGATTTACACAGCGCTCGGTTCGCAAAGCACTCTTCTCCCTGGACGTCAGCAAGTCGAGTGGGCCCGATGGAGTCCCTCCCATTGTGCTGAAGACGTGTGCTCCGGAGTTGGCACCGGTTTTAACGCGTCTTTTCCGGTACTCCTACTCCCAAGGCGTAGTCCCGAATTCATGGAAGACAGCTTTGGTCCACCCGATCCCTAAAAAAGGCGACCGCTCAGACCCGTCCAACTACAGGCCTATCGCCATCACCTCCTTGTTCTCCAAAATAATGGAATCCATTATAAACTGCCAGCTCATGAGGTACCTTGAGGATCACCAGCTGATCAGTGACCGTCAGTACGGTTTTCGTCGGGGTCGATCAGCAGGTGATCTTTTAGTTTACTTAACTCATAGATGGGCGGAGGCAGTAGAGTCCAAGGGGGAGGCATTGGCCGTTAGTTTGGACATAGCGAAGGCCTTCGATCGGGTCTGGCACAAGGCGCTTCTTTCGAAGCTTCCTTCCTATGGGCTTCCCGAGAAATTGTGCAAATGGATCACCAGTTTCCTTGCTGATCGGAGCATCAAGGTCGTAGTAGACGGTGCATGCTCTGATTACAAGCCTATCAACGCTGGTGTTCCACAAGGCTGCGTGCTATCACCAACGCTGTTTCTCCTGCATATCAATGATATGTTGCTAACTGGTAGCATTCATTGCTATGCAGACGACAGCACTGGGGATGCCTTATATACCGGCCGTGCCAATATTTCTCGGGAAAACGTCGCCGAGTACCGGGACAAACTTGTGTCTGAAGTCGAGTCTTTGCTTAACAAAGTCTCGGATTGGGGCCGACTAAATCTAGTCCAGTTCAATCCCCAGAAGACACAAGTTTGCGCGTTTACCGCTAAAAAGAACCCCTTTGTCGTATCTCCTCAGTTTCAAGGCACTCCCCTTGCTGCCTCAGCCAGTATCGGAATCCTTGGCGTCGACATATCGAATAGCGTGCAGTTTCGTGGTCACTTGGAAGGGAAGGCCAAATTGGCCTCTAAAAAGCTTGGCGTGCTCAGCAGAGCGAGACAGTATTTCATGCCGGCATATCGCTTGCAACTTTACAAAGCGCAAGTTCGGCCCCACATGGAATACTGTTCTCATCTCTGGGCCGGGGCACCCCAGTGCCAGCTCCTTCCACTTGACCGCATCCAGCGCAGAGCGATTCGAATCGTCGACGACCGAGTTCTTTCCGATCGGCTCGATACACTGGCACTGCGTAGAGATGTTGCATCTCTTTGCGTATTTTATCGCATCTATCACGGGGAGTGCTCTGAGGAATTGTTCGGACTAATTCCAGCCGCTCAATTTCACCATCGCACGTCGCGACAAAACTCGCGTTACCATCCATACCATCTGGATGATTGGCGGTCCACCACTGTGCGATTTAGAAGAAGTTTTCTCCCTCGCACAACTTCTTTGTGGAATCAATTACCACCAGCGAATTTTCCGAACCGATACGACTTAGGAACCTTCAAGAAAAGAGCTTACACCTTTCTAAAAGGCCGGCAACGCATCTGCAATTCCCCTGGTGTTGCGGTTGTTCATGGGCGGCGGTAGTCACTTAACATCAGGTGAGCCGCATGCTCGTTTGCCCCCTATTCTATAAAAAAAAAAAAAAAAAAAAAAAAAAAAAAAAAAAAAAAAAAAAAGATTTATTTTTTGCTTTAAATATTATGTATCTAGTTTTGGAAATATTGATAGTTAGTAATTGTATTGTAATCGCGAAGAATATCAAGGTCGTGCTGGGCTTGAGAGACAAGATCATGAATTGAAGAACCAAAGTAAAAAAAAGTGTCATCGACGTAAAGTGTGAGATTGCCATTTAAGCCCAACTCATGCATATTATTAATATAGACTAAGAAGAGTAGAGGACCCTGTATTGAAGTGGAACTCCATAGGATATAGGTTGTGGGGGACTTTGGGTGCTACTGTCTATTTTTACGATCTGGGATCTATTCGTGAGGTAAGACTCAAACATTTTTAAGGCTATGCCAGTAATACCAATAACTTCCAGTTTTTTTAAGAGCACTTTATGACATACGGTGTCAAACGCCTTTTTTAAATTAATGAATACTCCTAATACGATGTTTTTCTGATCAATGTTATGTTTGATTTTAGTTACGAGATCAATTGTAGCTGTGAGTGTATTAATTTTAGAGCGAAAAGTCCTTACTGTCTCTTAAAAAAGAAATCAATAGAGTCTAAGTAGTTTTGTAGCCGTGTATGTAAGACTTTTTCAAGAATTTTTGATAATACTGGCAATACGGAAATTGGTCGGTACGGAATTGGTGTTTTTGGTCCCGATTTGTAAATAGGTGTTACTTTGGCTATTTTAAGTGAGTCTGGAAATGATCCGTTTTGTAAAAGTTTGTTAATGTTTTTCGTTAATAAATTTATTATTAAGTCCTTCACACACTTGATAACTTTTGTACTAATACCATCCAGACCAAGACTACTGTTTGAATCAAGTTTGTTTATAATTTCTTCTTCTGTGCATGGGTCTAAACTATTCATTTGCGAATTTTGTAAAAGTGGTTTTGGTAGTGCGTGAGTATAATTGACATGGAATTGAATAGGTATTTCGTCAGCTAAATATGGCCCTATAGTAGCAAAAAAGTTATTAAATATATTGCATATCTCATGAGGATCTGTAACTTCTACTGAATTAACAATAAGTTTTGAAGGAGCGCACCTTTGTTTAGATTTGTTGTTCGTAAGGGTATTCATTAAATTCCATAGCTTTTTGGGCTTTCCACTGTATTTGTCGAATTCCTTCTTATAATATGACTTCTTTGTTTCCCGGATCAACTTTGTTATTTTGTGTCTTTTGGTGATATACTTTTCTCTCAGGTCTTCTTTTTCTGGGTTATTCTGTAGTTCTGTCCACATCAGGTTTCTTTCATTAATCTCTGTTATGATACGAGTACTTTTGTTTATCCGCTCTTTTTGTGGTTCATTCATAATTTTGGTCTTTATCACTTTGCTTTCTTCCATACATTTTTTTATTAGTTTTTCCAGTCTTGTAAAGTCATTGTTGGATTCTTGTATTCCTGCATTCTCCATTGATTTACGAAGTTCTTTGTTATTTATGGCTTCGTATTGATAATATTTTATCGGGGGCGGTTTTGTTTTCTTGATTTCCATGTAAAGCTATCTATGATCAGAAAAAGATGAGTTGACATATACCATATGAAAATTTTCTTCCTTTAAGTTGGTGCTTATATGATCTAGGATAGATTTTTTTGTAGGTCCTTGTCTGGTGTAATATTTTTTTGTGATTTTGTTTATGATCTTGTATCCAGTCTGTTTTAGCAGATGATTGTATCTTTTGGTCTCTGAATCTTTTGTGAGTAAATCAACGTTGAAGTTACCGAAAACTATTGCTCTACTTCTTTCTCGTAATTGTGATTCGTAAACATCGAGAAATTCTTTGAAATTAGTGTGTCCAGGGTTATATACCACTCCTACTTCGAGTGCATATTTTTCTAGTTTTATCCACATATAGTTATTGCCTCCTACGTATATTGACTCTGATAAATTGTGCTTCAGGTTATTATGGAAATAAGCAGATACCCCTTCTCCACCAACATCTGTTCTGCAGTTATAGTAATGAAAGTAGTTCGGTAGTTGAAGTTGTAATGCTTGTTCCTCATTGCGAATCCAAGTTTCAGTTATCAGTATGATGTGCACCGTATTTGGTTTTGCTTGTAATACACACTTGAGTTCATCGAAATTCCCCGCTGTATATATACTTCAAGCGTTAAGGTAGAGAAAGGTAAAGCGTGACTTGTTTATTGTAAAATTTTGGTAATTGTTTAATATTTCACAAGTATTGTTTTTGATAGGACTGTTGATTGCTGCGTTTACTGTGTGGAGTTTTTTGATATTTTTATGATTGACGGCGTCCCGTTAACATATTTAATTGTAAGATTAGTCTCACCATTATCTTGTCGTCGCTTTAGCTCTTCTCTTAATTTTTTCATAAAGTTTTGTTGAGTTGGTGTTTGGTCTGAGAACATTTTTAGGCCATCTTGTAGCTTATTTCTGTTGTGAAGTAGTTTTTTGGCAGGTTCTATTGTTTCGAAGCACATCTTGATACTGCGGTTCTTGCCAGGTTGGAGTTAGCCGATCCTAAAAACTTTGGTCAGTTTTGGAATGCCTGCACTTACCATGGATATAGTTTCGAATACGTCAGCTTCGTCGTTTGATAATCTGTCTTCAGGAGTAGACGCAATTTGTTCAGGTAAGCCGAAAAGCACGATATTTTTTTCTCTATTATTGCGATACTGAATCTCCTGTATAATTTGTTTGCCGAGTATCCATCCGTTTTCCTGAGTTATTGGTGCAGATTTTGAGGAAACTTTGAGTTTGTTTAAGTCTGATTCAAGTGATTCCATTTTGACTTGCATTGCGCTATGAGTTCGCTCGTTTGACAATTTCATATCAGTGATTTGGTTTTTTATATCAGTAATGTTTTCTTACATGGTTTTTAAAATCAGCTCATTAGACACGATATATTTTTCTAATAGAGAACTGATACGACTTAGTTCTGATCTCATTCCTCCTAGTTCATCAGAGCATGCACACTCGACACCAAAAGGCAATTTTCGTTTTCGAAATGTTATTGATGAATCCGATACTAAATCACTCATTTTGGATATATCTGGTTGCAACCCTCCAGTTGGTGACCTCTGGACGCTCATATTGCTTGTGTTTTGTCAGCCGACACACTGATGCGATGTATTGAGTGAGCGAAGTAAAAAATAGCAACCGTACGTGTCTCGCGGGGGTTAAGAAGGTTGAATTTTTCCTTTATCGGCCCGTTGAAGTCCCGACTTTGGCCTCTTCCGTTGTAAGGAGAATGCGCATTAATCGTCAAGCTAGGCAGGCGGATTGACCACCGTAATACCAGCGGGGTTAGCCATAATGACTTGACACCGTCATTACCGCTATATACATATAGTTCGCTATATTTTTTTTACTAAAAAAAATCAATATACCACGTTTTTTATGTTCCTACATTGTTATTCGATTCTGATCTTTGTTCAAAATTTCAAGTCTCTAGCTCATTGGGAAGTGCTCTAAATTCCAGTTGCAAGATCCCACCCGGAACGATAGACAGACAGAAAAATAAGAAAGTGACCTAATAAAAACGTGGTAGAATGAATGAGAATAACAAACCTGAACATTACAAACAGCCCGGTTTCCGAAGTTTTCAGTTATATTCCCATTAGTTATTGATACATTAAAGTTATCTATAGGATAAACGTCGGTTAACTGTCATTGCGTTTCTAAATACGCAACGAATCATTCAATAACTATGAAACCAAAAAAAAAAAAATTGCCGCTAGATGAGTCTGTTCAAGAGATCGAGTTTATAATTGATTTTATTATTTCAATTCTTCACTAATACTAGTTTTATTAATATAATAATATATTTTTAAGTCTAAATAAGTGAGTAAGGACTGTTTTAATAATAAATTATGATAATTCCATATTTATCAGCAACTGTATTTGAACATCAATGTCAAATTAAAAAAAACTCACTCTTGTTTTTTTGTTCCGCATTTTCGCACATGTTGTATTTTTCTTATCTTTGAGATTTTAAGTTAGGTTGGAAGCTCCAGGGGGCCCGCGAAATTCAAATTTTCTTGCGTTTTTTGGAATTTGAAAGTCAGGGTCAGGTCGTATATTTAACAAAATATGATTCGCGATCGTAGCGATTATGTGTTTACAGAATTATTATCATTAAAATCACCAATACAACCATGTAAGTTCATATAATCCCTTTGAATGAGTTTTTTTTGGAAATAGCCATACAATGGGCCAGCCTCCGGAAAATCTACTTCACCTGAAGATGACTCGTGTAGAGGCGAAACACGTGTCGTATTTTCGAGAGTGGTGTTTCGTGCCTAGTGTGGTGGTGCTGGGGATGGTAGTGCTGGGATTGACGGCGACGGGTATAGTGCGTGCGATTGAGGGAGGTTGGGAGGTCCCCTTAAAACTGGGCGGGACACATAATTTTCTTTCTTTACGCGGAATTAAGCAAATTAATTTATAACAACCCCATTATAATGGATTTCCGCAAAGTAACGCCTGACTCTATCAATTACATTTATATGTGCATAATATACTTTATATGTTTTATTTATCCTCTGAATATTTTAATATTAATCGTTGACTGGCCATTTATTTTAATAATATCACGTTATAACCTAAAAGTTGATGGAGTTTGCTTGAAATAAAACGTGAGATAAAGTTGTAGAACCCACACCCACTACGCTGAATGGCTTGGTTCTCGGTTACCCGATCATGAGGGTAGGTCTGTCTATGACTTTGCCTTGGCATGTGGTCTAACACAACTGGTTACTTCGCCTAAGCGGATCCCAGATGTGGAGGATGATGTACCTTCCCTGTTGGACCTCCGACTGACCTCTCATCCGGACGGATATCAGGTCTCCGTCGATGCCCCTCTAGACTTTTTAGATCATTATCTGATCCGGAGTACGGTGCCACTCACGCTCCCATCGCAGTTGCGATCTGCAGCTTGCCGCCGTGTTTTGAACTATAGGTCGGCCGATTGGGACGCGATGTGGTCTTTTTTGCATCCTACCCTTGGGGGCGGGTTTACTTCTCGCCGGATGATACCAGCGTTGTTGCCGATTCTGTTGCTGATGTGGTGCTTCAGGGTATGGAACTTTTTATTCCATCCTCTATGGTGCCCATCGGAGGTAGATCCCAGCCATGGTTTGGTCGCTCCTGTAAAATAGCATCATGCTGTAAGCAGGAGAGCTACCGGTCCTGGGCTGACGGATCTACGTCTTGGGACGTAAACACCAGCGCTCTTAAATAGAAGTATAATTCCGCTTTCAGATCCTTCAAAAGCATCATTGCCAAGGCAAGGTCTGAGCACATCAGCAGAATTGGTGAGAAGCTAGTTCGCCTTCCTTCGGGAACCCGTGCATTCTGGTCTCTCGCTAAGGCTGTCCAAGGAAACTTCTGTCAGCCATCTCTTCCATCTCTGCACAGAGAGGACGACTCATTATCCCATGCAGCAAAGGAGAAAGCCGATCTGTTAAGCTCTCTCTTTGCGTCCAATTCGATTCTAGATGACGGGTGAACACACCGCCGACCATCCCGCGGTGTGAGTGCTCCATGCGGGAATTGCTGTTTACACAGCGCTCAGTGCGTAAAGCAATCCTCTCCCTGGACGTCAGGGCCTGAAGGAGGTCCTCCCATTGTGCTGAAGACGTGTGCTCCGGAGTTGGCACCGGTTTTAACGCGTCTTTTCCGATACTCCTACTCCCAAGGCGTAGTCCCGAATTTATGGAAGACAGCTTTAGTCCACCCGATCAATAAAAAAGGCAACCGCTCAGAGCCATCCAACTACAGGCCTATCGCCATCACCTCCTTGTTCTCCAAAATAATGGAACCCATTATAAACTGCCAGCTCATGAGGTACCTTGAGGATCAGCAGCTGATTACTGACCGCCAGTATGGTTTTCGTCGGGGTC